TCTTGAGGATCACCCTTCTCTTTCATCCATTTCTCTCTATATGGACATGGGACCATGCGTGTTTCTATGGAAACCAACTCCAGGCCCTTGCGACGGACAGGTGAATCAGGATCAGTGAAAGGTTTTTTGAACTCTTCCATGGTTCGGTAATAGTTGAAAAGTGTTGTGTGGTTGAATTCTTCCTACATAGAATTATAAGTGGTCATTTTCAGCACAGGAACAATGAGATATACAAAACTAACAAACAAATATAACAACAGTAGCAAAACACCCATCACATTTCAAATACAATATGTCATTTTAATTGTTCACTTGCAAGTTATTTTTTTTATGTCATTAATTATAAACTTTTGGAAGTATAGTAGAAATGGGACATTCAAAGCCAAGTGAAGAGAARATGTCCTGTATTCTACCTGAGTTATTATTCCCTCATTGACAAGTTCTTGCCACAGGTTGCACATCTGATGATGCAATGACACCTTGGTGCTTTTAGTGTGGCCAACAGATTGACCTTGTTCATCAACAGCAAACTGTATAAAAACCAATTGTCCACCTTGAATATATACAAAAACAACAATGCAATATTAGTGAGTGCTAAAATAAATACAGAGCTAACCTTGTTAACTTTAAAGGATCTGAAATCAGCACTTTTTATGACCCAGAGCTACAGACTTATTCCTTAGCCTGAAAAAGTACCCAAGTTTTGTTCACCTCCCACCGACCCTATGTACTAGGGTATATGAATCTGTATAATTTAGGACAATTTTATACCTGGCACTAATTCATCAGCTCTTTTTAATAAAATAAGTTCCCAGTCTTTCTCTGCTTGTTTGGAGAACTTTTCTTTTTCCTCTTGGCGAGTGATCATTGTGTGATGGAGTGCTCCTGTGATGTGACAAGGTTTGTCCTTCAGCCAGTGCACGCTGGTAGCTGAGAATCCCAGGTGAACATTGTTGTTTGGAACACACTGGCTATAGAAGTTTGTACCACAAGCCAGTACAAATACATTTTGAAATTTGTTCAGGTAGGAGGGTGATCCAGGAATAAGACCTGTGGTAATGAGACAATTAGTAAATATAATCATAATATCACACAAAACAAAACAACAACATGAGTATATATATAATTGCACATATTGCTGATATACAAACATATATACATAGTACCTTGTAACCTCATAAACAGTGATTTGAAATCATTSATTGGTTGATCTTCATAGATGATAGTGATTGGCATTTCTTCTCCATACTTTTCTCGTATTGCCTTCACTGATTCATACATCAAAGGCATTGATGTTCCTCCATCAGCTGTACCATAATCCACTATGGTGAATACAGAGCCAGGTTTAACAATACTCTGCTTGATGACTTGGAGAACCAGTGGAAGTCCTTCTAAAATAACTTTGTAACACCCAATGGTATTGTCTGAGTAGTAACCTGATCCATCGGAGCCATATGGGGTATGACTATGTGGAACCTAGTAGTATGCCATTATTAGACATAATCAATTACAAAGAAGCAAAATTATTTCTGTGGGGGGTGGAGAGAGGACCATGATCACTGATCAGACTTTATCAGATCATGTCCATAAGAAAGACACCAATTTTGAGCAATACAATACCTTTTTCAGGATTACCTGTGTGTAATTTAGAGCAGAAGTTCCGATTAAATTCCAAACTCATATAATCTTACATATTTATAATTAAAGCACTAGTCAATTGAACCCCCCGCTCCCCAACCTGGTCTAGCAGGACACTGAACAGGGTCTTGTTGCATCTTTCGTGCTTTTAACAGCAAGATTGRGATTTTGATGAATTGTTTTCGAAGCGGGGCAAAGAACAGAGAATTTAATGTTCGCTTGAACATATATGTGCTTGGAAACTCACTAGAAGTTGACAATCTTGAAAAATACCCTTAAAGCATTGGTATTCAAACCTGTTTGTGTATTTGTTTAATTTTTCCCAGCATGAAAAATTTTAAAAGAAACTTTACACATGTTCAACGTCCAGTTAACTTCATGTAGTACCATGGTTAATAGAGAGTACTAGTCCTCTCTATTAACTATGTAAGTATGCAAATAAAAATACAGGAGTATACAAAAGGTAATCCTGTGTAGTATTATAGAAGTTGAGTTGGATTGAAACGTGTTTGTTAATAATAGCTGGGCCACATTAGAGGGGATTTTAATAGTGTATGTGCCCCCGACTACAGGGGGAAATGTCTATTTCCCGGGGGCCGGGCATTTCAATTGACTAGTACATAATGTCGCGTCAATTTCATTGATTTCGGAGCTCTTATGTCTGAAAAATGGTGGGAACTAGCGGTAAATTAGTGTGAGCTGCGTCGGTGTTTCTAAAGAAACAGTTATGTAAAAAGATAAATTTAACACCGTAAAAAAAGTATGTGAAATAACTTACTGACGTTTCGGACGTTAATCCTTCGTCGGAGTAAAAGTGATGAAAATAGGTAAAGGGTGAGTTTATATAGTAGGAATAGGAAGGAAAATAGACCAATAGGAGCAAAGTAGGCATGGTAACGTGAAATAAACAAAAAAGCAAAG